TTAGAAAATCTTAAGAATCCAAACATTCTTTTATTGGCTACAAGAAAAGAATCAGGAAGTGTTCCTCAGACTTTTAGTTAGCTATTACTAGAATAAAATTATTATTATAAATATATCAGAAATTTTTATCCGGGCTTGATGGATATTTTTTATGTCAGCCAAGAAAGCTACAGTTTAGTAACTAAGCTCAATCCTTTGTTCCTAAAGATTTTCTGCTAACTATAATTAAACTAAGGAACATCTGAATGGTAATGGGTTTCCATATGGAGTACACTAAAAATTGCTCCAAAATCAATCACCTTGGTGGGTTTTATTTATAGAGCTCCCAAATGGATTTAGGTAACACTCTCCCTAAATGTTGCCTAAGCCTTCTTGTTTTACTCTGAAGCACAGAGTAGGGACACAAGGGGTCCAGTGATCTGACTTCTAGGGGTAATGTTAAGATTCTGCTGAAGACAAGGATGTGCTAAGGCACATCCTAATTGGTAAAGGTCACGTCTTTCTTTTTTGTTTACCCTCATTACCTGTTTCCCCCATACCCCCACTCTCTCCCCTCTGGGAACTATCAGTTTGTTCTCTTTAATTAAGAGTTTGTTTCTTGGTTTGTCTCTTTCTTTTTTTCCCTTATTTGTTTTGTTTCTTAAATTCCACATATGAGTGAGATCATATGGTTTCTGTCTTTCTCTGACTTATTTCCCTTAGCATAATACACTCTAGCTCCATCTATATTGTTGCAAATGGCAAGATTTCATTCTTTCTTATGGCTGAGTAATATTCCATTGTGTGTGTGTGTGTGTGTGTGTGTGTATACCACATCTTCTTTATCCATTCATCAATTGATGGACACATGGGCTGCTTCTATAATTTGGCTATTGTACATAATGCTGCTATAAACACAGGGTTGCATGTATCCCTTTGAATTTGTGTTTTTGTATTTTTTTGGGTAGATACCCAGTAGTGCAATTACTGGATCATAGGGTAGTTTCATTTTTAACTTTTTGAGGAACCTCCATACTATTTTTCACAGTGGCTGCACCAGTTTGCATTCCCACCAACAGTGCAAGAGGATTACTTTTCTCTACCTCCTCGCCAACACTTGTTTGGTAAGGTCACTTCTAACATAAGAGTGAGTTTGCCATGTTTTGCCTCAAACCTGACACCACAGAATATGAACTATCATGTAGAAATGTCAAATGTTTCTTCCCATCACCTAGGACTTTGGCCTAGAGAGGAGCCATGACTGTGAACGTTATGCCCTCCTTGTAACTACACTTACGCCCTCTACTCAGCACCGGATAAAAAGGAACCAGGCTTACAATATCGTGAGAGAGAGGAATGAGCCAGGAAGAATGGAGCTACTGGTGAGGTGAGATATGTTACTGAACCCCATGTTCAGAGTCCCCATTTTTGCTTTCACCACTAAGGCGTCAGGATTCCTTCTTGGAGCTACACCCTCACTGACCATCTGGTCCCCAGAGCTCTGGACACCTGGGCAGTGCCCTAGGGGTGCCTGCAGGATGCCAATGATGATGTGAGGCCAGCTCTCCAAGTTCAAGTCCCTCCTTCCCCATTCGACCCCCCACAAGGCAGTGCAACGCTCTACCACCCCACCTGCCATATGCCCTGTCCCCTACTGATGGGGAGAACTCTGGGTGTGGTGCAGTCAGCGAGTCTTCCTGGGGGGCTCAGCAGTCACCAACCCCTCCCCACCTCCTCCTGCAGCCGCACTGCCTGTCCAGCATGCTTTCACTGTCAGCCAGGGCCACACATTCCTGCAGCTAGAGGGTGGACTGGGTCCCACGGCATCTGCAGCTTTCAGCAACTGTCCAGAGCACTCATCCTCTGAACCTATGCTCCACAAGTGCACCCTGTCAACAGTGTTTCCCCTGTCCACTCCCCAGACATCAAGCTCAGTCACCCATCTGCCTAGTCACTGGGGAAAAGGCTCTCACGATCCATTGGAAGGCTCTGCTTTCCCAGGAGAGGGAGGGCAAGTGGGGTTTACTTGACCAGGGCTGAGCTTCTGTGCTTGAGTATCAGCAGGTTTAACACAGACAGCGAATCCCAAATGATGAGCACAGTGTAGACATGGAGCAAGGGCTCAATATGGTGGCTGTTCTCATACTGCTATTATGGATACACACCTAAAGAGGTGTAAGAGGGATCTGCCTGATGAGACTCTGCTTCTTGAGGGTTAATCCATCAACTGCACCAAAGGACAAGCAGAAGGCACAGCAGCTGCTATCTTTCCTCTTTTAGAGACAGAACACCCATAAGGAAGTCAGAGCCCCACTAATAAAGTCAATGGCAGATGTTTCAAATGTCCTCCGGGGTCACAATTTGTATCTCCTCCCTCATCCAATGTTGACATAAGCGACTGGAGAAGGTGGTGCCATGATTTATGAGGCCGGAGGGATGGAAGCAGCATGAGAATGAGTGGGAATGCAGCACTATGTGCAACAGTTTAAGCTGAAGCAGGTTTAAAGTAGTATAGACTCTTCGGAGTTAATGTGTTGAAACTGACAGCTGAGGGATTCCAGCCACCAACTGTCCCAAACACAGGCTGGTACTCAAGCTCGGGAACGCCAGCCCCGGTGCAGAGTGCCGTCATCCTTAGCAGCTCTTGGTCCTTGCCCAACAGCTGCTCTGTCTATCAGGGCAGCAGGGGCTGCCGAGCACCGACTGCTTGGAACCGTGTGTACTATTTCTGTGCACGGGATGTGAGTAAGTGCATGCCATCACAGGTCGGACCAGGATGTGAGTCAGATTGCTATAAAGGATTAAAAAGAACTGGTCTTCAAAGCCTCCCAGAAGCAGTCTGCCATGCTATAAAGGAGCTACAGTCTGAAAGACACGTAATTACTGAGCAAAGGAGAAGCCCTGAAGAATATGGACGATTAGAATTGGCCATGTGATAGCAGCAGTGAAAGACGGACAGCTCGGAAAAGCTGTGGGACATGGGGTTGCTTTACTTTCCTCTTAAAATAAAACATTTTATCTGCAGAGAAACTTCTATGGGGCCAAATGAGTGGTCCTAAACTGGCTCTGAAAAAAAAATCTATTGGCACTGAGGCATAAAGATACAAAACCGACGTCTGCCTATAGCACACTTTGTAACAGTAGAAAATTATTAACCATCCCTATACCCACAAATTAGTTAAATAAAGGGTGTTATGTCCCTTTGATGGAAACTAAGCAGCTGTTAAGAGGAATAAAGTAATTTGGCTATATTGGCATGGAAGGCTGTCTGTGATAGACCATTACGGCAAAAAAAATCAAGTTGTAGAAAATGTGCTGGGAAATGGCATTTCGGTTAAAAATGGTATGTTTGTACACGCGCAGGAAAAAGTCTGTAAGGAGCTGGAGCACACCATTAACAATTGTTAATTGTGACAGAGAGATTTTGTACATCTCTATTCATTGCTTGACTCCTTTACAACAAACATTACTTTTACAACAGAAAATAAAACTAACAGATAATTATGAGTGAAAAAGAGTATTACTCTATAAGCAATGTTCTTGGAGGCCTCAGGGTGGCCTAATGGCCCACAGAGTCCCTGACCGAATGGGTGAAAGCAGAGCAAGGCAGGACCCAGCTCTCCGCGAGTCCATGGAGGCTGCAAAGTCAGCATTCCCGAAATGCCATGAGAAAGGAGGGCTTAGAAGCCTCAGGAGCCTTTCTTTACCCATCTTGTGGACCTTGCTTTCTAGCTCCTGGGAGTGTCCCCACGGCCTACATAGCTTCTGCTTCATGCATGCTGGGGGAGTTCACTGCCTGCCCAGGACCTGGGGCTGTGATCCCAGGCACATCACCACTCAGCCCTGGCACTTCTAAACGTGGTTTTACTGGCTTGCTGTTCAAAGGGTTGTGAAGACTTATCTGGGACGAGTGACAGTGGCAAGTCATCTGCTCCGTCTTTTCCCTCCCAGCAAAGCCTCAAAGGACTGTCCTTTGTTTCAAGGGCCAGGGCCAGGGGAACCTGACCTGTCTCTGTGACCGCAGGAATCCGACCCAGTGCCCTCTGGGTCAGGCTTCCTCACTGGGAGCAAGCTGTGTCCTCTGGGCCACCCCCGGGGGCCCCTTCTCCAGTGTGGGCGGGGGGGACAGCAGGCCCAACTGTTTAACCACATGGACAGGCCCAGAAATGGTTATGGCTCAGCCTTCTGAAGGCCGAAGAAGCCCAGACGTCACTTCTCAAGCATTTTCTATGCTCCACAGATCTCCTCTGAACGCCTTCCAGTCTCTCCTCCCCGACCGCACAGCCTCCCTTAGGGAATTGCCGCTCACCCTCCAGGTCTTCGCTCAGGTGTCACCTCCACTGGGGAGACTTTCCCAACACTGCAAGGCCAGGCCAGTCCCTCTTCCACCCTGATATACGCTCCATCTCTGTTCTCACTTTCTATTTCCCCATGATAACTGGCTCGATGTCTGTCTTCCCCATGAGAACGTGAGCTCCTCGAGGGCAGAGCCTCGGCCTGTTTTTGCTGCATCCCCAGCACATGGAGCAGTCTGGCGCCACGACAAAGGCTGACGCATGAGAAGGGTGCCTCGGAGGCCAGGGGCGTGGGACGCGTGCTGACCGGGGAGGGAGGAAGAGTGGTGGGCAGGGCTTCTCTCCTTTGCAGTGACTACTCATCTCCTTTATTTGTTGTCATATGCGTCCAAGGGAATGGTTAGTAGTGAAATGTATCTCCCCTCCCAAACTCAGAAGAATTACGTGGGGTGGGTACTCGTGGCAGACGGCAGCGTTTAGAGGAACTAAGAGATTACAGCTAACACTCCAGAAATTTTCTCAGTTGAAATGCAGAACCTTTGATGCTATCTATGCCTCCTGGTTGTTTCTTGGGGCCCCTCAAGGACCCCTGGGCTGTCCAGGGCTGCCGGGGGCATCCTGGGGAGGGGGGTGGATAGAATCCCCTTGAGACCGAAATCCTCTGGCTGACACGACGGTGAGCCTCAGCAGCGGCAGAGGAGGGGTGGGCCAGGGGTGGGCACTGACCTCGGCTGATGCGCTGCTTCTCCCCAGACAGGATGCCGGGACTGTCGATGATGCTGATGCTCTTCAGGACCTGATTGGGCAGCTGGGAGCACATGAATCTGGAAAAAAGGGATCAAGGTGGGATCAAGAACTGCACATCTCCGAGCTCAGAGGAGCTCCTTGGCTTCTCAAGGTTACTGACATTGTCCCTAAAGTGGGGACTTGCAGGGGTGACTTCTGCTGGTGCCACAGGGACCAGGCGCTGGACCAAGGGGCAGGTATGGGAAGGTACCTGCTGCTACCTGCCACCAGATCCTTAACTGTTAATTTTGATTTTAGCTGATATTTACGGAACACTTAGATATTTTACAAACATCATCTCATTTGCTCCTCAGAGTAAGCCCTTGAGGAAGAAATTCCCATTAACATCAGAGAAGTAGCTTACTCAGCATCACTCAGAGCTGGGCCTTAAAACCAGGTCAGACTGATCCAAAGCCCATCAGCCTCACCTGCCCCTTCTCCATGCTGCTACTTGCCCAAGTGTCCTGGGCTTCTTCTCCCAGGGCATACCATGCCTCCTTCGGGGTCATTGCTCCACTGTGCTGGAGTACCCTAAGATCCCTGTCCAGCCGCACTGCCCACTCCCTAGTGTGACCATGGAAGTCCAGTGCCCATGTGGCTTCAGGCCCAGCATGGGGCAAGCACCTGTGGGCAACACCCCAAATCCTCCAGGTGCCTTGGAGTCCAAGGGGTACCCTAAGAGTGGACAAAGTGGCAGGGGTTGGGGAGAGTCCTGGCCGAGCATCTCAAGCCTCCTTCCTTGGCCCTCACTTGCCTGATACCATTTCTTCCTTCTCATCGCGATCCCCCGGCAGTCAGTTGCCCTGGCCTCAGCCCCACGGAAGCAGAGTGGCGTGGGAGGAAAATTTGGCCTTTAGGTCAGCAGACTGGGTTCAGGTTCAGCTCAGCCTTTGCCAATAATTTGCTGTGGGACCCTGGACAAGGGCTTCCCAGCTCTGGGCCTGTGTCCTTATGTGTAAATGGAGACACTTGGATGGGGACCGGTGAGATCCTTTTTAGCTGTTACTCTAGAGTAACTCTAGAGTAGCAGAGGAAAACACTGAAACTTTCACCCAGGCAGCAGATCCACCCAAGGTGGATCTCTGGTAGGCACTGTCTTTTTTTTTTAGATTTTATTTATTTATTTATTTGACAGAGAGAGAGAGAGCGCCCACACGCATACAAGCAGGGGGAGTGGCAGAGGGAGAGGGAGACGCAGACTCTCCCCTGAGCAAGGAGCCCGATTCAGGGCTTGATCCCAGGGTCCTGGGATCATGACCTGAGCCAAAGGCAGACGCTTAACCAATTGCGCCACCCAGGCGCCCTGCTGTGTCTGTTTTCAGGCAAAAACTATAGAGTGCCACTCCTTCTCCTATATTGTAAATGGCTAACTTTTGTATCTGTGTGGGCAGAGGCTGGAAAACCCTCAGGGAAAGCTCAATTCTTCCATTCAGTGGAACTGGTGGGATCACTGGAAAGTAAATATGCTGGGAATGCAGGACAGGGCGGCCACACCAGCCTTCACAGTGCACACCCGGATGGCACAGCCCCTGGGCCAGGGTGGGGTCATGGCCGCTGGGCTGGCGGTGGGCAGTCCTGAGCAAGAGGTGCAATTACTGACATTTCAAAGTAGCTTTCTTTGAAGGTGCTCGGGACAAGTTTCCCACACATTCTTTCCTGTATTTTCAGGTCAGCCCGGGGAGGTGTAAGAAAAGATATTATGATCATTTTGCAGCTGGAAAAGTTGAAGCCCCAAATCGTTATGACATCTTGAGGTCACACCGTGAATGCACGGCCGGCTGGAGACGGCAACCTAATATTTCTGATGTCAGCTGAGTTGAACTCAACCCATAAAGTTAAAAACCTCAGAATGTTAAAAATAAAGGGTCAGGTTAATTTAAGAGAACCCCTCATTTCTGATTTTCTCCCACCCCTCACGCACCCTCCAGACCTTTCAATAAACCCCACTGCCCAACATGGGGAGAGCAGACGTGTGAGAAGGAAGTGCACAGAGATCGCTAAGCATTCATTCTTTGTAAGTTCATGGAGAAAAAACCGCCACATTTGATGCTCTAGAACTGAGGTAGGACCAGAGTTCTGAGCACATCTGTGGTAGACCACATTTCTTGTCAGTAATGGTTCAGTCTCTTATCATAATCTCATCCTTTTTATTAGATGGCTTGAGACATTTGACAATGCTGAAAAATTGCACATATGTGAAACTATTTTATACAAAATATTCCTGTGAGAGACTCACCTTTCTCCAAAACCACAAGCTCACACTCAGTATCAATTTTTCCAAAACACAAAACGCCTGGATTTGAGTGTGGAGTTAATAGAAGCATCCAAAACGTATAAACTGTCCACTCTCTGCAAAGTGACAAACTTTCAGCAACTCCCATGCCTCCTGACATAACAGCAGAGGCGAAATCAGGCAAAATCTGTGAGCCCCGAAACAAGATACCATCAGATACGGTGAATGTGGTGACGTGACCACACAATAAACAAGGGGGCAGGCTGAGGGGCCCATGGGGATAACTGCAGAAAAAGGGAGGAGGGGGAAGGGGAGGGAGAAAGGGGAGGGGGCGGGGTGGGGGAAGAGGGTGGGGAGAGGAGGAGGGAGCTCTCCAGGGGCACCCTGAGAGGGGGTGGTTGGGTTGTGTGTGCAAACCCAGGCTACACTCCAGGAAAGAAAGCAAGAAAGTCTGTGAGGT